CAACTTAAACAATAAAAGACGTTCGTAAGCTCTAGTTCGTCTTTTTTCATATCTTGAATATTGGATGTTAAATTATTGGGAACGTTTATACAGAGGATTGTATTCCACTTTTAAAGTTTGACTCTGATCGCATTTCTTAAATTTCTTTATGTGTTGTGGTATTTTTGAGCACATATTCATCTGCTGATCGTCTTAGATCAATCATCAGTCATTTAGAAACCACGCATTCTGTTTAACGCCGAGTTGACTTGTCTCTGTTCTTGACAAACAATGGCAGTTCCCCTCCTAAATAAACTGTCACAAAATGAATTATGGTGTTGAAGCATGGAGGCCGTACTGAGTGACAAGGAATGAAACCGTTTTGAGATGATCAATTTCCTTAAGTTTATAAGTTTATCATGTACATCTTGATCAGAGGCATATAATACGATTTCCTGGTTCATAATTTGTTGACACAAAAGTAAAGTCTGTAAAATAAAAAATATCTATAGATTTATATATATATATATATATATACATAAATAGCAGTAATAACAATCTCTAATTACGACAAGTTGCGTGTGATGAAATCTCTGCGTATCTCAAGGTGTTAGCAATATAGGTGATCGTTTTGACAATGTACATAGTTAGATTTCACTAAGTTGCCAAATTTACAGTAAAATCGGTGAACGACAGCACTTATTATCAGTATATTGGGTGACGAAATTTCATTTGCATTCACTTACTACTACCAAATATTTAGTAGTGCAATATAAGTAATTGGAGACAAACAAAATTGGAATTTGTCCTGAATGCGTCAATACTTGCTCTCATAGTTCCGTTCCAAACATACATAGTATTGTTTATAATTGTTTGTGATTCATAATTTACATGTATACGTAAAGAGATAGGAACAAATTTACTTCAAAGAGTACTCATGTATTGTATATTCAATGAAATGTTACCGTAACATTGAAAGTAATTGTTAAATGTACTTCATATGTATCTATTTATGTTGTTCTAATTTCATTCACTTGAATATTTGAAGCATCACTGTTTTCAGTTTCATAATTAATCATTTAGTTCGGTGCAATTGTGTTGTGGAATATACAAATCGATTGTCTATCAGATATTTGTGATTTTTGAATTATTTGTATATTTGAGTAATCAAATTAACGGTCAACATCATTTCAACACTGTAAACTATTTACTGTAATAAAATCGCAGTGTACTGTAATAGTCATATGTTAGTAAGACGGATTATGCTCTCCTGCTGCATATACATAGATGAAAAGACATAGTCTATCCGATAAATTCTAATCACATAATTTATTCTTAATAACGATTTCATCAAAACCTATTCTCTGTACACGTGTTAATTCGAATCACTGAAGCGGAATATCTTGATGTCACAATAACTTTTACGTAGAGGATTATTATTGTGTTTTGAGAAAACACAGACAATTTGGTCAAATGAAGAATGGTTGAGTAATAAATGTTCAATTCATTTCCAACTATTTCAGTGTAGAAGGAGGAAGTTTATAGAAAGGAGTGGAGTATTAGAAAAAGAACTAGTTATTTTACGAGTGAAAATGAAGAATGGGTTGATAATGTCTTTATTTTCTAGTTATCTAGTTGACTGTGGGTTCAGATATATAGTGAAGGGTAAAGCACAAAACGTAGGTCATTACAGTAAGAGGACACGATGGTGTAAAAATAACTGAACACTACAAAACACAAGATTTGAAAACAGGTTTCTGAAAGTAAAATCTAAGCAATCCATATATTTATGACAAACGGTAACCAAAACTAAACCCACTAGTGTGGGAAAGATTTATATCATATGTAAATCTATAGCAGCTTCTGTACTCCAACCAATATTAAGTTGCAAAATAATGAACTGATTGTTAAGTTTGTTAGGCTATACTTGAAGATCATCTAACTCTGTTAAATGTGATGATAAGTAAATGTGCACCACTATCAGCTTTGTAATTATCCTTTCGTTTATTGTCGTTGATAACTTCTGCAAATATAATTGGAATATGAGTTTTGTGATAGGTGTTTGTTAGTCATGTACTCGACTTACAAGACAGATGAAGTGGAACCGCTCACTGTTATTATGAAATGACACTTAATTAAATGTGATCATGTTTTCGCATCACATAAAGAAATCCCAATTAACTGAAGCAGGTTACGTGAGACAAAAACTTTTTCAAAGATTCCCTGCACAGAAGTCAATGAATTAAGAAGAAGCTTTATGAGGGATGATAGTCTCTAATACAGTCATCACAAATACTAAATCAATATGTTCACCGTGGGAGGATATAACAAATTCCTCCACAGACTAGTTCAAAGTCATCAAGTGTTCCAATGATCATAAAGTGTGGACTCAATATCTTTGATGAAAAACAACTTTTTACAATATTATAAGTACTTGAATAATAAATATCAATAGATATGAGAATGATGTATTTCTGACGAAGGTGTTAGGTGACAGCTTTACCGGCATGATCAATGCTATACAGTGGAGATTTCAGTAAATAATTGGATATAGGGTGGATGCACAAAAGAGTTGTTAAAATGGGGTGTTAAAAAATCTGTAATGATTTACTGGAGAGTTTTGTAGTAGATTTTTTTACATATCATTAGTGTAATGAATTTGTTTAACAACTTTACATTTGTTATAAAATAACAACTGAAAGGTTCTCGGTATGTGCTGTGATCTTAACGAGCGCATACATAATGTTTACGTATCGGGCATACTCAGAATGGTCATAGCTGTGAACTGTGAATGATGTACTGAAAAGAAGAAAAGAAAAAGAATCAGCAGCAAGTTATTAGGATGTAAAACCTCAACAATGCTTAATAGTTTGCAGTGAAGTAAACGAATGTATGGCAAATCAGTAGAAAAAATTATTAACCAAAATAAATTACATTTCAGTGGTCTTCAGATAAGAGTATACAATAATAAAGAACAATGAACCGTGACATTTAACAAGGTGGAATGAGTTGGTATAATGTGGAGGAATTTGTAGTTGTAAGCTAAAAGGCTGTTTTTTAAAGTCAAAAATGCAACAAAAGAGAATAGAATTATGAATAGTCTGACGAAGACTTTGCTCCAAATAGTTACCATTGGCATTATTGTCTGAAGGATAAGGTGTAACAGTGAAGCTAATTTGTCTTTGTATTCCATATAAAGCATAAAGGGTCTTGAGAATATACTAAGTTAAGAACATCAAGAAAATGTAATATGTCACATTTTTAATTAAATGATATGAAACAAATATAGTAATTAATTATCACATTGGTATTTCAGGTCTATTATAGATGAATAAATAAAGAATTGTTATATCCTATGCGGTTATTCATCTTGTGTTTACATTAATTGCATAATCGGTATCATTAAACCATTTGTCAAGTCTGAAGCCATAGCTGTGGATTTGGATGATGATCTGTAATAAAACTGTAGCGGTAAATAAATCACTCAAATCAATAGCTCTGAAAGTCTTCAACATTTGATGCTGACCACATTAATTTTAATGGATTCACCTAGCTGAAGGCGTATGATCATGCAACCCCACCAGATCGGAATCGCCGCGTTCAACTTCTCGTACAACAGCTAGCCAGTTTAGTCAGTCACTTTTCGATATCTTGATAGCTTATCAAATATATATTAGAACCTCTTCGCTTCTGACTTCTGGTTTCATTGGGTGGGCACGTTTCGATTATAGAAGGTGTTACTGATCACGGTGTTGTCAAACTCCGAATACGTGTGACATCTTCAAAACTAAACTCCTATAGTACCCCAATTCACATTGAAACAAATAATGGAAATCAGGTTTATTCATTCAACAACAACATCAAACTGGATAAACTCCTAAAAATAGGATTGTATTTAGAATTGGACGAATAAAATATAAAATACAATACTGATTATTTAAATCACATGAGAAAATTTTGTTTTTGTTCTTAACTTTGTACAGCTGCCCACATCAATCCTTGCAAACTAGTGTCCTTCTAGACAACGAGGAACAGCTACCTCAAGGACGAGACAAAATATAACCAAATGTTCAAGGTCAATTGTGGTATCAATGAAGGATGAAGGTCGAAACACTCTTCTTCCGTGTATTAAATATACAGTAGCATAAAATATTGATCTGGAGTTCACTGCTCCACAATGTCATATTGCAACTCTGTAGTAGAGGAACATTTAAGCCTTATTTCATAATTTAATAGCTTGAGAACATGGACTTCACTCAATTGATGTCAACTTTCCACTACCCAAAGTAATCATGGATAATTATTCTGGATTCTTTTTGATCCTTGACTGATCTTTCAGGAAGAAATGCAGTTGTTTACATTTAGTTAGAAAAAAAACCATTAAGAAAATTCACCATTTATTTCACATTGTCACATGGATATGGAAGTCTTAGGTATTCAACTCTACGCATATATTCCAACTGCGGTCTGTAAGGGAAGCCATTCTTCTGTACTAAAATTTTAATAGAGTTATTTAAGACTATTTTATTTGTAGATCCATTCCAAAACGCAATATTTGAAGGCTTTTTGTCATTCTCCAATATGCTCAAGTTCTACTGTATCCATATTTACATTAGGAAGAAATGTCAATATAATCTGACAAATAACTGACTTTCTCAAAAGACTCTATACAGTTCCTATAAATAGTGTGAAATTGTATGTTGTGTATGTGTGTGGTAAGTGTGTTAATGTATAAAGTATGCATATTGTAGATGAGTTTATTTAGTAATCATTCATATTTTAGTGATTATCAGAGTATCTATGGAGAAATAGATCATTCATAAGATTAGTACAAACACACAAAAAATTGCTTAAATCCAAGATTGCAGATCAGCACATATTATTATTATTCACATTAATTGGATTAATCAAAAAGAAAGATTAAATAAGCACTTCATGTCACGCAGACATTCTGTATGCTGTGATATAAATGTATAAATAGAAGAAGAACGATGAGAAACATTCATTGTCAATACAACAATATGCAACTAATTGGTACAAGTTGTTTAGTGATTGTCTGTTTAATACAGATACTTGTTCCACTTTGTAAATGTAAGTTGATGAGATTTTATGACTGTAGGAATATATGAGCACAATTAGGATGATTATTTTACCCACACTTCATTTTTATTATCAATCTTATTACTTAGAAACAGTTTTCATACAAGGGGATTCGAACATAATCACACAGTCAACTATCCTATAGTTCAGGTGTAGGATACAATTTTAGTTTGAATGTGTTACTTCAGAGCATCAGAAAATTGTTTTCGTTTGCCGTTTAAGTACTAAAAAAATGTTCTGTCTATAGATTCTCCTTTTGACTTTTACACGAACATATTCATTGAATCTCCATTCTTCTAGGGAATGGAAACTACAATTACGGATAAAGTGTTATCTGTCAACAGATTATGTTATTTGGTGAATGATTTGTGTTTTAAGTGAAGACAGATGGTGGACAACTTAGTTAATACAAAAAAAACAGTATGCACCAATGATAGATTATTCAAATAATGCAGTAAAATTTGCTAGACTCAAATAACAATCTAAATGATAAAATTAATGTTGCACCGTATTATTTTGAGAAGAAGCTCTTGATTCTTATAGGAACTTCTAGGGTTTTCCGTATTTCACTATCTTCTAGAATCGCTTTCGGTAATCCTGTTATTCATATATAAGCTATTAGGTCATTATCTTCTTGTTGAAATTCAACTACAAAGTAATTAGAAGAAATGCTATAAAAAAGAATGCATGGTATGTAGTAAACAGAAATATGTGATTTTGAAGAAAATATTTTCGACAATGTTATATTAATGCATCGAGATGAATTATCTACAAAAAGATGTTGAACTCACTTATATTTAACTTTATTTAATAATATCATCTCAATGGAAGTAAAACATGGTTAGGATTGGTTGTTTGTTAATTACGTCTATGATTGGATACATTTAATCCAACACATTTTGATGGAGTTTTGTTCTCTGAACTGAATGGTTTGGTCGTGGAGCTTTCATCGTACTTCTGAAAGATATCATGAGAAGGACGATGAAAGCTCCACGGTCAAACAATCCAATTCAGAGAACAAAACTCCATCAAAATCATCCACCTGAGATATAAATCTGTTCCACCATCTCAAAATATAACACATTATTGATTTTGAAAGGTGTATTGTACAATTTCACTCAATATTACACATTTCAACTGGCAGGTACTACATGGGGTGAGTCAATTGATCGACATTTAAATGTAATAGAATGGAAGTAACGAAAACTTAAGTTAACAGATTTTGTCATTTTATCAGAAAAATTTTACTTTCTTCTCAAAAGAATAATATAAAGCGTACTATAAGTAAGACACATTACATCGAACACTCAACACTTGTTCACCATTGGTGAATAACAGTTGAGGTATTTAGGAAAAATAGAAGGTGAAGGTTTGATTACAGCGCCACGTATATGAAGTTTTTCATTTCTTCGACATAATATATAACTCGCAAATACTGATTCTCAAATCCATTCTCAATTACTGAAATATACTTGATATATTATTTCAATTAATCTTTAACTACCGATGTTAATTGAACTCCTCGTTATAAATCATCAGTTGAGATCAGTGGTTAGTTGAACACTAATCACGTTACTTTAATTGAATTTGAAATTATGAAACATCGAACACTTCTATTTTCTTTCTGCAGCACGACTGACATCTAAAACACTTCGTAGAAGAAGTACTGACATCACCTACTTATGGTTAAATTTCGTTTACTATTTCTTTGATGCTAGACATATGTGAAAATAAATTTTTCAACAAAAATGTCTAAATTTCTATGCTGATTATTTAAAAAAGCTATTCAATGCACCGGTAAGTCGAGCAATGTATGAATGACTTTCGCTATTTGCATAAAACATTCACAAATGAAACATCAACATTTCCATTTAGAGTTAGCACAACCGGATACTTCAAAGTGATTATTTCTGAGAATCAAATCAAACAGCTGATAAGATTGAATGGAATCTTTGTTCAAATCAACGAGATTAGAAAGATAATCTTACAAATATCAAAACGTACGTATGTGGAATATTGGCTAGCAACAACAAAACTTTCGTGATAGCGTTCGAAAATTTTATCGGTATTTCTCAGAAAAATATTTCACAGTAAATCAGTCACTAGGTAAGAAAGATTTCTATAAGCAAGGGTATATAATTACGGAAAGTAATGAGGAGCATATGTAATCTAGGTATACTACTGATCAATTTTTATCATGCAGATGGAAAATAATCAATTTGTGTCTGACTTCCCTTTGTTAAATGCACAGAACTCCTGTCTCATTTGCAAATGCGACATTTCATCTATGAGATGGTCCACTGTAGGTTATCCATGTTGCTTAGGTAATTATTCTATATGAAGCGTTCACATCTGATTATGTCGTTGTATGACAGGCTAAAGACAACAACATGTACATGACGATTATTAGTTTAATTTTTTCAATGTATCTCTTACTTGTATTAGGAAATGAATGTTGTGGTACGTTTTAAACTATGAATGTTTAGTTTCTAAAGTATGCTAAAAAATTGGTATTTATAATCGAGATATTAATAACCTAATTAGTTTTATTGCACATACCATTTTTATTTATCAAACTAGTATGCAGAAATTATTTGCCTCATACATATGTACAGTAATGATGATACAAAATTTAATATCTGGGATGTGAATAAAGCTATTGTCTATCGTTGATGATTGCACAAACTGGTAAATACATTTGTCTCTAAAATCAGTATGCTTCAACACCAAATGCCTAAAAATGATTAACTTCTAGTCACGAGTAGTGATCATTAGTGTTTCGGTAAGTTGAATGTAGGATAAATATCACTAATTGCAGTGGATGATGGCTGCCTAAATTCCAGAGTTTACCGATGCTTTTCATATAAACCGTTGGATGTGAACTAGATTGTTTTCTGCTAGCAGGGATCTCTGAATGAACTATGTTTGATTTCTGGATTGATCATGAATATTCATTGTTAAGTAATACCAGAAAACAACAAAATAAAGACACAAAACTTTCAAGTTGTCAGTTGTCCTCTATAGTTAGTCCGTGTACAAGATCACAAAGTTTCGCTGAATGAATAAGTGAGAATCAGAATCAAAGTTATCTTCAGGATTACTGATAATGGCTATCTCAGAATAGCCTTGTACGGATGTTTTTCTTGGTTACATTCTAATATACTTTTTCTGACAGATAATAGTCAGAGTCATTAAAGAGATTTGTAGTCGTAGATTAGGAAATCTAATGTTAATATAATAAGCTAATAGTCAGTTATATACTCCTTAACCAATTGTTATGAAGCCTTAATGAGACGTATGAAATTATGTTCTGTTGGATAACAGAATGGTAATATTACAATATATTGTTTTCTTGAACAATGTCATTTTACTGGAAAATCTATATATATATATATATATATATATATATATATATATGTATATATATGTGATTATGCTATTACCATTACAGATATCGATGTACCAAGTATGTAATTAGTGATGCAATCAGTAATATTTTTAAAAATTCTGTTGGTTGCTTACAAATAATGCAGAATATAATTTAACAATATTATAAAATATACATAGCATAATGTAATAATAGATACTAGTTATCATGAAAATTGTGTGGATCAACATCTCAGATGAATATCTTGAGAGTTTCTGTTGTAGCATTTTTCTCAATTCTCTCTACTATTTATTTCAGTCAACATTCCTTACAGATTATGAATGAAAACACATTGAAAAGATTTGGTCGATCGAAGTAGTAGAGGAATTCGAGATTTAGGATAGGCAACTTTATGAATATAAAAGACGAAACCATCTCTAATGACCTACTTCTTAATTCAATGTGACATTTTGCTATGTTACTCAGAATTATCAATTGTCGATCATTTGAGGTTTTTGATTTTGTATGCTTGTTTTAACGTGAAAAATACCTACGAAGTAGTATTATTTCTTAATGGTATCCTTAATGCTGTATCTTGGAAACAGAAAGCAATCTCACAAGTAAGTACCTGACGATAAAACATAAATGTTAAGTATTTTTTTGCAATGCAGTGCATTTGAATTTACATCTGAATTAGTCAGACAAAAGTGTCTACTTAAAGGTTTGTTTCTCTTAAGCGACCCTTTGTTGTGGTAAGTTGATCAAATTCGTTTACATAAAGAATTGTTTTTGAATCATTTGTTAATGAAATCACCTTGTTTACAATAAACTTAAATGTTCTTTATGGTATTGAGTATAGGTATTAACTTCAAAGTTCCAGTTGTTCCTTGAAAAAACTGATAATGAAAATAGATCCTTCTGTTTGCATTAAGTTAGTTATACAGAGTAGCATACTCCCTTTTTCCTGTGGTTCGTATTCAACAAAATATTGTTTACGGATTCTACCGTACAATAACTTACCTGAATATTATTCAGTTGTGCAGAGACTTCATTTGTATTGAGCGACAAGTGAACTTATTCGAATGAACCTCAGTTGCAATTAATGTACATTTATGTTTGAAGAAAATATTTCGTGAAGTTAGATATTAAGAACTGAATGTCATCGAACAATGTGTGCTTACTATTTATACCATCATCACAGTGATTATATTTGTGTTGCAGAAGGTATCACATATGCAGTGAGTTCAACAACATTTTGAAGATTCAGAAAAACATTACAGGACATGATTATAGACGACACTGAATTCAGACCCTAAAGTTATACAATCTGAACTTCAATGAAGCTAAGTGGGCATGGCTTGCCGAAATTGAAATCTGTTCAATGTAATAAATGTGAGCTAATCTACTCTACGCGTTTACAAAATTCACTCCATTATTTTACTTTTGAATATTAATGTTTCTCATCTAATGCTTTCACTTCTAGTTAAAGATGGTTGTGAGGGTAAGTCTCATAACATAGTTTGACGAAAGAATAATGTATTATGTATTCCGAATGATAAAATGTTCAAATACCATGAAGCTCATTCGTTGTTATCTATCTATTGACATTTAATTAACAGTTGAAGAGAATTATAATTTCATATTTCGAGATAACTACTACATACTAATTAGTACATATTTTCATTCACTTGTCATACAACTACATGAAACTGAATACATCTGAAATAAACAATGGAACATATGTAAGGCAATAGTATATTTTGAGATGTATTTAGATTCATGTGTTTAGGGATCTTTTAACATTGTAATCATGTGCTCATTTACTTTTACATCGTAAGATCAAATTGGGTTAATATCAGTTGTGTAATTGCTATTGACTTATTGGTGATGAAGTTATTTATGTTCTTTCATAAAAACATTGTATTCCACAAATGCATTTGGAAAGCATGAAATTGAGCATGATGAAAACATTTACTGATTCTTCACTTTGAATACATACAGAAATAATATTTCGGTTACTCATATAACGTATAATGACTATATAGACTACTCACAACACTGCATACAAATGTTAAGGTACTATAGACTGAGTGGAGTCGTTTGTCCTTCTGGTTACGGTATTAAGAAACATTTGTATCACATTCAGTCTGTCCATCACAGCATTATCAACTGACAACTGTTAGTATGAGAAATTAGCGGACTGGTAATTCAATTCACCATTATCAACATCTTTTCCTATTCATGTGCATAATTACTTTAGGTCGTAATGGTAAGTTCAGCTCAATATTTTGAAACTAATTTCAGTAGTACTTTGTCAGTTTCGTCTAATGGTTGTGAAGTCTGAAGTAGGAGAGTATCCTCACAATGATAGTAACTGATTGTCTAAGATGTAATTCTTGCAATTGTGTAGTACTTCTGAGAAGCTTTGATCGTTAGCAGAAGTTGGAAAAAAAAATTACTATGCGTGTGTATGTTAATATTCGATCTAAATAAAAGAACACTGACGATGAAAGCCGTTCGACTACACATGAGTATCTCTAAAACATTTATATCCATATTTATATCTATGTCTATATATATATTATACGAATATTCGTCAAGATTAGAACGAATAGTTTGACAATAATTGGGCACCGAGTATAGAGAATTCATTATATGTGAAAAAATTATATTTGAAATAGTCTCAGCGATTGAAATTTAAATAATTCCAACATTTCGTCCAGCTAACTTGTCTGGACTTCTTCAGGGAAATAATCAAAATCAAAATCATCAAAGAAATATATAGTGTTTTTACAATCATATCAAAATCTCTACTACTTTTTAATCCAATCATATTTGGATGTCAAAGTTTTTGTACAACAGGATAATATGAGTCAGTTGAATGAGAATTAAGTGAAAAGTTCAACGATGTGAATTAAACGAGACTGCATAAATTGTGTGTATGTATGTATGTGTAAGCTGAGTTATTAATGAATGATATTCAGTGTTGAAATGTTTCTAAGTGAAGTAAAATAGGAATAAAAGTGCATAATGAAGGTTGAAAAGATTTTCTCCTTTCTGAATCATCGAAGTTGCAAATAAAATGAGAATCTCGCTCGCGAGAGCGGGTTTGTGGATGCACACTGCTGAGGATTCCCATAATAGGACGAAACGGCCGTCCAGTGCTTCCAGGTTTTCGATGGTGGTCTAGCTTCAATTGACTCAGGATTTCAACTGTGAAAATGAGAATCATCAAGTACATAAATTGTAATGTTAAACGTAACTCATATTGATTTCAGTCATAATAACGATTCATGTGAAGTAAACAGGTTGAATAAAAGAAAAGGTCAAATTACTTGTTGATGAATATTTGCCAAGTGGTAGCTAGCTGAATACCATCCTTTCTGTTTAGGCTGTTCTTATTCGCCCATATATACAGCGCTTCTGCTGTCAATCTTTCTTTGTGAGTGTTGAAACCTTTCTGAAGTATTTTGGCCCCTTCAAAATTAATCATGTGTCCCGTTTCCAACGCATGTAACGATATTGAAGACTTATTCTCAAGTTTCTTTAAGTCAACCGAGGTTTTGGGAACGTTTTTTAAACACTGTTTGTGTTCCTTCAACCTTGCCTTCAATTGTCTGGATGTTTCTCCAATATAAGCCGCATTACAATCTTGACAATTGATCTCATAGACAATATTTTGTTGTTCTTCCTTTGGTAACCTATCCTTAACCTTCACCAATGACGATCTTATAGTGTCACGTGTTCTAAAATACACTCTTATATCATGTTTGTTTTAAATCCGTTTGATTTCCTCCGATGTTTCGCTACGGTATGGTATGACTACAGTGGACTTCCAATCTTTCTGTACATGTTACAGTTTAGCTTTTCTTTCCTTTCTAACAATCTTCTTTAAAAACTCTTTTGGGTAGTTGTTATCCCTAAGTGTAGCTAAAATCCTATTCAATTCAAATTGTTGGTCTTCTTCATCTGTAACAAGCTTCAGACTTCTGTTAATTAAATTTTTAACAACTGTGACTTTCGTACATAAAGCATGCGCCGAATCAAAATCTAAGTATCTATCTGAATGTGTTGATTTTCTGAAATCATTTATTTTCAACTTCCTATTATTAAGTCTTCGTTCAATCATACAGTCGAGAAATGCAAGTTTGTGGTCATCAGACTCTATTTCCTTCGTTAGATTAATTTGTTCCAAAATGTTGTTAACATTTGCAAGCAATTCTTCTAAATAGTCCTGTTTAATGATAACAAAAATGTCATCTACATACCGTAGCCAGACCTTTGGTGGACAAACACTTCTTGCGATTGCACTAGTTTCGAGTGAATGCATGAATAAATTCGCAACAATCGGAGAAACTGGTGAACCCATAGCTATACCTTCTTTTTGTCTGTATAGATCTCCTGCTTGTTACAGGTGAAGAAGACCAACAATTTGAATTGAATAGGATTTTAGCTACACTTAGGGATAACAACTACCCAAAAGAGTTTTTAAAGAAGATTGTTAGAAAGGAAAGAAAAGCTAAACTGTAACATGTACAGAAAGATTGGAAGTCCACTGTAGTCATACCATACCGTAGCGAAACATCGGAGGAAATCAAACGGATTTAAAACAAACATGATATAAGAGTGTATTTTAGAACACGTGACACTATAAGATCGTCATTGGTGAAGGTTAAGGATAGGTTACCAAAGGAAGAACAACAAAATATTGTCTATGAGATCAATTGTCAAGATTGTAATGCGGCTTATATTGGAGAAACATCCAGACAATTGAAGGCAAGGTTGAAGGAACACAAACAGTGTTTAAAAAACGTTCCCAAAACCTCGGTTGACTTAAAGAAACTTGAGAATAAGTCTTCAATATCGTTACATGCGTTGGAAACGGGACACATGATTAATTTTGAAGGGGCCAAAATATTTCGCGAATGTTTTGGAAATGGATCTATCTTATTGTCTTTGTGTCGAAAAAGATAATCAAGAAAGTACCTTACAAAACTGTAAGTACAATTTAAATTTCTTTCTATTTTTTTTGTTTATTTTTTTCCGGATTTAATAACATTTTGAGAAATCCGTTTAAAGAGAGACATTAATCAATGTCGTGACAAATTTATTAATCTAGTGTATGAATGATACAGTTGATTGAAAATTTAAAAAATGGAATGTTTTTAGCTTGGTAACATTCATTTTGGAATATATTGTGGCAATCAGATTTTATATCAGAGTTGGATGGAGAATGCTGGTGAGCTGCCTATGTTCCTCGACAGGGGATAACAGGATTAAGTAAGTAAGTAAAGTAATCAGATTTTCTAAACAACATAAAACTTCGATACAAGCTAAAAATAATAAGGATTTTGGCAAATATCTGATCCATTTTCATGATATTTCAACTTGATTATTTTATTCACCTAGATATGTAACTGGATGGTTACAGGCTATATTATCAAATCTCGAGGAGGGTAACAATCTGTGCATACTATGCATACAAGGTGCATTTGCGAAATACTGTGTTTAATTATCACAAATGATATATATATTGTTATGACGTATGAATTCGTAATAATATGGACGTGCAATTGGAGAGGAATGAATTTATTGATCGGAGGCAAATGATACTTGAAATTGTACGAGCAGTCTTGATTGCGTATCGGCCTGCTATCTGCCTAGCCCAGCCAGTTGAGTCCAGAACACAAATAACAGCCTCGGCAATATGAATCATTTTTCACATACATACTGGGTTTATATACTAACCAAACAGACCCATATACCAAAAAATAGAAAAATGACATTTGTACAATAATTGGCCAATAGGAAATAGACATATTACATTTGTCAATAAATAGACCTCAGATTTACCATTCATAATTCACCAGGGGATATAACATATATATATATATATATATATATATATATATATTCAGAGAGACGGAGAGAGAAAAAAATAAACGTTTTATGGTAATATGACGTAATGAATATGCTGTGTTTTTATTTTTACTCTTCAAAAAGACGGGCGTAAACAGCAAATGGGTAAGTTATTTTTCCATCACCACGAGTACGACGTTGTGCATAATTTTTAATGATATCTATTCATTATAAGTTTAATTTATTACTAGATTACGAAATATAGTTACCTGATGAGAAGCTCTGTGATCATCTTTAACTTACAGAAAGAGATATATATGAATGCAGTTCAAGTAGTAAACACCAAGAACTTAACTAACAAACAATGATTTTGTTGATAAATCTCACAGATAGAAAAGCTGAGAAGAATGGCATACAATCTAACCTAATAGAGATATAATGTACGAAGAAAACACCATAGGTTCATGTAATTATTTCAAGACTGATGAGAGAAAAATTTGATAGCTGTGCCTCATATTACAATTTATTGACTAAATACACATAAAGTGAGTACTTTAAGTGAAATATATTGGTGGATTCAAGAAAACTGAATGATTCATACATTCGTTGAAAGAACATTCGTACTGCTTACCGTCTTCGTTGAACTTTTTGTTCAACATGACAGTGGTAAGTGTATCCGTTTATAATGATATTAATATTGAATCTAAGTTGTGCCTAGATCATTTATATGCAACAACAAATGATACACTAATACGATGAATGATGTGCAGATGACTAATGTGTGAATAACTATTAATTGGTCTTGTGAGTAACAGGTTTATTTTCACACTTGATATACGGCAGATCGACGAAATCAAGATTGATGCTTGTTCTGTATTATTCAATAATATTACTTTTCAGATATTGTTTAATATCTTTGGCCGAATTTACCAGCCAGATGCGTTTTCATCATTTTTATTATTAAAGTTAACAGACTAAAAGAAGGTGGTAAGTTCGTTATAGCCATTTTTCTCCTAATAAACCATACTTCTTATTTGGATTTTGTGAAATTTGTCCATTAGATAATAATTATATGTAACAACAGTTATGTAATAGGTGTATATATATATATATATATATATATATATATATATATATATACGTCCAATGATACAGGAAATGAGTACGAGCGATCTTGGGTGCAATCCGGTTTTTTCTATCTGCCTAGCCCAGCCGTTAAGTCCAGAACACAAATACAGCCTCGGCAATATGAATCATTATTTACAAACATACTGGGTTTTTATACAAACCAAAGTAATCAATAAACTGATTATAACTCAAGAATCGTACGATAATAAATCAGATATCAAAATACAACTAACGATAAGAGAAAACACGAATATGAAGATCTAAAAGTGATCTTACTGGTTGCTTTTGGGTAATTATTAGTTGATCCCAATAATTTTTACAACAATGAACATTTTGGTAGCAATTAGCTCTAATAAACGCACTATGTTTATTTTAGATTGAAATTCGGTCGTGGTCACAGTCTCCGAGTATTTGTTTTTAAGTATGCTGTTCGTAGTAGCATTTCCATCACTGAAAGCGCTAATGAATCCATCAAGAGAATTTGAGGGGGGGAACGTTTCCTCTTTTCCTACCCTTCATTCCTAGTTCTATTGGATTCAGAAACGGATCTTTAGCATCAGATTTTCATTCACAAACAAGCTTATTTCAACACTGACGTGTTCATAATGTCAGTAGACATTTAAATAAAATGTAATGATTCCCTTAATAGTGCATCCACTGGCTCTACACGGATGACGTAAACTTTTTATTGAATAACATTGAATGAATAATGAGGATTAGAATTTTATTCTATTTATTTCCATAACATGTTAAATCTTTAAATTCATAAACCAGTCATATGGATATGGTCTTTTAGATGTTATTCCAAGCATCTGATAGCACACAACAAAATAATTAATGTTCTCAACCTGATTACATAATCTAATTATTTATTTTCATTGTTTCATAAATTAACATATTTGATTTAATGTTCTTATATAAAGATACAAATATTTCGTCATATTGGAATGAAGCCCGATGAGGACGATTAGCCTCGCTATTATGTTATCCTGATTTTCAGGGTGGACTTTTAAAATACTGTCGAATTCTCAGTTTAATATTGGATGCAATATCTGAACAGTGTCAATTAATTTCCCTCTGATTACTTTCACCTGATTACCATGAAACATCTACGACACCATTTACGTATTAAATATGATGGAAAATACACTCTACGAGTTGCTATTCGTTTGATGTATTTATTTGGTAGCTAGTTTAACAGGTTTGTCATTTATAAATCTTTATGATCAAGCTTTCAGTAAATATCATTGAGAGTCCACAATTTTACATTTCTTCCTAAGTACAAAAATTGGGTGTAAGTCTATCTATATGAAATATATGATTATTTCAAAAATAGACTAAATTACAATCCAACCTATCTAGAATAAGTTTGAGTGTCCACTTTTCTCGAAGATAGTTAATCTCATTTAGATGGGTACTATCATGAACTCTTCTAAACTAATGAACAATCTAATTAATTCTATATTGATTAGATAGGTATATACCAATCTACTGAACAATACCGATCAATCCTTAATAGTGTCACAGTTATAATTTGTAGTGCATTTGCAAATATTACCATAATTGAAATCAATCTAAGGAATAATTCACGAGATATTAACCATGATGCTTTTCAAATGGTGAGTACAAAACCTGTTAAAAACATTCAGTTGCCAGTAGTTACGGAATGCCGAGAATTTTATTTCATTATTTTCAAATTTATATAACATAACAGACTTATTTGTTGATTAAATTAGTTGTGTAGTTGTCTCGTTGTAACTTCTAACTCCCTTATTATCTTGATTAGTTTCATATTTTAAATAGTTCTGTGTAACTGAAACTGAAGATTGAAGTTGACTTTGATGAGTATTTGACTGTCTGTTTATTGACAGTATTCTGAAAAGTAACTCGATTGAAAATAGTTTAGGATAAATTGCACTTTAGATACCCAACAATCACATTTGTTCTTATATTCTAATAACTGACATGAAATATGTTGATAATTATCTTTGCTCGTATATTAGTTCTCTTTTGGAATTTGATTCACTAATATTTTCAGGCTAACGGTAAAGTGTTAGTTTACTATCTCATCATTATACTTACACAGTGAACAGTGTAAAGTCATAAAATTACAGATATCCAGTAATCACATGACTCCTTGCTCAAAAATCAAGGTTTCGAAAACAATCTTCCTCATCACATAGTTTATCATAAGGTTATATAGAAACCAATTACTATTTTAAATAATTTACCTGGGCATTACTTACTTACTTACTTAGTCTACCAAATATTAATTGCTTGTTGTTAATTATTGTTTAAACATTTCAGGGTTATTGAATATAAAGGGATTTCAAAGGACCACGTTTATCAACACATGGATAATTGACTGAAATTCTTATGATTCTTTAATATAAATAAAGAGATACAGACATTTTAACGAGATTCCTTTTTTATCAACAAACTGACTTTTATTCATCTTTGAATTCTTAATTGTGAAGGGTAGGCACACAAAGAACATGGAGAGTGAGAGTTGTTTTGCATTCTAAATCATGTTCAATGTTATGGGAATCAAAACAGTTACTTTTGTGCTAGATAATATAAAAATAACGAGAACAATTGTTTTAGTTCATGTGTATCTCCAGGATAAATGAATGTACAAAGGGAATCGATAAATTCTCCAGATATATCATCAAATTGATTCACCAGCTGAGTTATTCGAGATTTGGACATGTGGACAAAATATACTACTATGTTAAAAAATTTTGAAGTTATGAGTTCGAAAAGTATTTTTATTCGTCCATATGAAATGAAAGAGAAATGCAATAGTGAATATATTTAGTCTATTTTTGATATAGTGTTGCCCTGACAATAAAAATCTTTCTCGATTAGGTTTTGTCCAATAACATGTTTCTACTGATTTTCTTCAAATGAATATTTGGTTGAATGTTCATCATCATGATCAGTGATCGTGGCTGAGATTTATGACGTCTAGTTTAAAAATTACAAATTAACAGTTTACTGGCGAAACTGGTTTACGGACTATTCATTTCAAAAAAATTATTAATGTACTATTCATTTCAAACACACTGGACGATTCTTGAACAATGGGGTGTGTTAAAAGGCAGGAAAATATAAGGTGCTATATCCTTCTTGTGGACCGTACATAGTAATTCAAAAGTAAACATTTAGAAAACATATGGACTCAAGAGTTTATTCTCATATATGTACGGAACCAATATTTAGGCTCTAGATCACGAAACCTAACGGTAACTTCAGTCACTTCGTAATGTGGTGCACAAAATTTCAGGTTACAAAGACAAGTGACTTATTTACAGTACATCAAGTTGAAATTGAGCATTTACGACGTGCTTCTAGCACATTCTAGAAACTTTTCGATTTCAATTATTATTGAGATTGCACAGTTAACTGTGTCAGTCTGCGACGTATAATACCTTCAAATTACTAACACTAGTTAGTTAAGATAAAAAGTACTATTAGAGAATCAACGAAAATATCATTACTTTAAAAGCTGTTTTGTAATGCTTCAAAAGTTAATCAGTAGAATGGTTGATAAGTAAATTTACTATTGTCATATACTAATAATTTTATTATATTTGTAATATCCCAATGAGTAGAAAAATCAAATTTTCCGACGTTTCGTGACTCAGTGTAAACCACTTCTTTGGAGAATAAATAACCAAATCAAAATTAATCCACGTCTAAATAGTACAGACGCACAAGGCTCACATACACACAAGCTTACATAAAATTCGTTTTAGAATAACCTTGACCGAAATGATATGCCACTGATTTGTTCAGACCTGTTTTTTTCACTGGTGACACATAATATTCCTTTGTTATGCCTTTGTACGATTTTAACTTGGATTACTTTTGATTTGACTACTTATTTTCTGAAGAAGTGGCTGACTATGGGTCACGAAACGTCAAAAATTACTTCTCAAGGTAGGATATGGGTTCGGAAGTTCTAAAATCATAGTGCATAAAGAACAGGAACTGATCCATATGGCTCCACAGTAGTCGACCTCTGGAGCCATGATGAAGCCTCAAAAATTCTTTTAGCTTCGACCACATTTACCACATTTACTCTTGGACCTGATAGTGTCTTGACACATAATTTGAGGTGTAGTAAACTAGGGCTTGACCCTTTATGGATGAGGAGACTCAAACTTAACCTTATCTTCTTTTTCAAAATACTTAACAAACTCTCCTTCACATCCAGTCAGGCGATTCAATATACTAAGGCCTCACATTACGATATTCGTAACCCCTTATCTTTAGCGAAACAAACATATTCTAGATCTTCTCTCTATATGAATTACTTTACCTGTAAGTTTTCTAGACTCTGGAATAATTTACCCCAAACTATCCGTATGTTAAACTCTCTCCCATTGTTTGTTCGCTCAATTAATGCTTTTTGCTCCTCTGAAAATGCATTAAATGCTCCAGCTCCTGCAAGTGTATCTTACTCCACAAGTGAGATTATCGGAACTTTAAGTGTTTAACCTCTTACTTGCTATCATTGTTTTGTTGTTCCGTGCTCTCTGCTTTAATATTACTTTCTCTAGTTGTAGATAATTAATAATAACTCGCTCTGGCACTGGTAATAACCTTACAGAACAATGTTGATCAACCATCAGACTATCCACTTAATAAAAAAATGACAAGTTCCCTGGTGTTGCATTGGCTTGCCATATATAAACTATTTATCAATTACTAAACCAGCAAACATAAAACTTTCTTATATTTCATGTTTGCTCTCTACATTAAATGTTGATTTTTATAACAATCTGATCATGCCTGTAAACTGGTGTGAATTCTGTAAATATTATTTTCAGAATATATTATTATTATTATTATTATTATAGCTTCAATGTTGTTGGTATGGTTTAAGGTTAGGGTGTTAACCTTAATTGTGATCGAGTGAAAAAAAATCATTCGAGTATCATAGTCACAAGTGTGGGAACTTATTAATAATCACTTCTCTTGTATACACTGCATTATCACCAAAAATCGTCAGTAAGCATCAGGTACCAAAATTAGTGCTGTGACCTTGAAAACCTGCGAAAGATTTTGATGGCTCGTCTATAAAGTTTAGTCCAACCGATCTAATAAAGCCTGAATTATTATTTACACTCAGATAGAAAACTAAGTTAAAAACATGTGAAGGTTGGGATATGTGTTACACAAATGAGCTCAAATAAAAATAGTCAGGCTTGTAAGCGAATAGACAACAAGGTCAAATGTGTGTTAGTAATAACTTAAAAAGAATAAATTAATTAGCTGTTCGTAAGGTTGGAATAACCCATATATTAGTGACTTAGTAATAAACGCCATATAGTATGTTTTCTAAATACAATGTAAAGAGCTTATTTGTACGAACAGTTCTTGAAGAATATTATATTCAGAAAATATTACTTTTAAAACAAAGGGGATGATGAATATATACATGGTCATAAATTAAAGCATGTTAGTGAACTCACATTTTATATAAGGTTTTGTTATTTTAAAACATTAGGACGGTCAGTCGATATGTTCTATTTCGCGCAAAGTAATCCTCGTAGTTTCGGAAATATGGTAATCCAAATATATCGTCATATATCACAATTGATTGATCACTGGGTGGTGATCAATCTCATGCGTGTCAGGTCCTTAGTGCTGATCGAATGCTATCGATCAAGTTGCATATATGCCATGTCATATATGCCTGCAAATTAGTTCTAGTAAGCATTTTCAATAACTTATGGTTTGTATTTCACAAGAGAACTAACAGCGATGTATTTAAAACCATCAATATCAGTTCTTGCTACATGACTACACTGCTCGAGCAAATAAAATATTTGGTCGTACCCTTTTGTTTATAATATTGAATTTAAAGTAGATGCTTCTCCATGTACAAACGCATATGTTTATGTTACACAATCAGCGATTAGGAACATTTTTGGTTCATTTTTGTACGCTCATGTTTTCAAATATAGTGAAACTCCCTTCTTATCTGTTTTTTCTTCTGATGTGACGCCTTTAATAGCCTAAAATATGGCAAAGAACGTCTTGCACATACGTGCTTTGATAATCTTTCAATTATGTATCTACGTGAAGAAGTAATACTGTTGAAGTTGAAATAATTAACGAGATGACCAGACAATATTAAACGATCAACAAACATGTCCAATACAAGTTGCTGACTATTTGATCTGTCATTCACATAATTAGTACTTACTTCATCTGATGACAGGCTGTTAACTTTGAAGCTTGAACATTCAAATTAATCGCTTCTTGTCTATAAAAATAAAATGACTATACACCATAATAGACATTACATTTTTGTGCGGTCCCAGGTTGTTGAACGGAGATAAGCTACAAGGATCAGCAAATATTTGGAGCTATGTACATTAAATAGATCGCCATTTTACGTAATCAAATGGGTAATAAAAAAATGTTGAGCACACCGGATAAAAATTAACGAGGAGTTGGCAAAAAGGCCTGCGACAAACGTCGAACTACAATAGGTTTACTAAAGAGTGTGAAAGTAGCGGAATTGCCATTTCTGCTTCGCTTCCACACATTTCATTCTTAATGTCAGTTTGAAGGAAAGAGTGCTTAAAATAAAATCATTCAACGCAGATAAAGTTTCATAATCATACATATTCGTACATTCTTTCAAATTAAATCTATGTCAACGGGCCATAAACCTAGTGAGTCCTCCTTCGAAATAAACGCAAACAGAAAAGCCAGTTCAACAATGACTTGAAAACACACAAATCGTATAATATCATCGTTATATTTTTGATGCATCGACTCTTATAATCCATCTTTTTCTCAGATCATTCCATGATGATTATAATAATTGCAATAATCTTACTATCAACTTTTCGTCAATGTCACATAAAGGGAAGTTATCATCATTATTCATGTTCGCAACGAGATTAATTAATGTTCATACGATAATTTATGCTGTTATGAAAATCATTTTCACTTGAGACATTTACAACCTGGTTTACTATTTTCTTATAATTTAACAACGCAAAGTTCTCCTATTTCAAATCAAACTTCCGTCATACAACTGCAGACTATTTTCTTTTTATCAATGAACCTTACTATAATGTTCCTATATTCATCAAATTTCAGATGCCGCATTACTAGCTGATTAGCAACGAAAATGTTCACCTTATCGTTTTGTTCACATGTGTAACTGGATGCTGAATCATTAATTACCCATAAACATTACTGAATCAATACAGTTATTGGCATTCGACTGCAAATCAAAACATAAATTATATAGCTGGTGTCACAAGCTACATGTTCGTCATATCCAAGTGAGTTGTTTTCGCCCATCATGCCAAATCGTGTGTATTCAAATGTTTTCTACAACCGAGACCAAGTAAAGCCTCATGGCATATAGTGAAAAAGACCATCAATCTTGTCTCCTTAGTCACTATTCTGTTCCACTGGTCATTCTACCAACGCATATTTAGCATCTGGTTATAATACCATCAACATTTTGCTAACCTTGACCTCAAACCTCTTCGGTATTATTTTCAAAAACAAACACCTTTTCAAGTTAATTTAGTATATTCTATGGGAGGCTTTGTAGTGTCTGTTGCTAATTCAAGCTTACATGGGTTGCTCAAGCTTCCGGTCACAATACATTATTCATTCTTCTTGAGTCACACTTTCACCTTTTCAACTATTTGCCTAACATACGAATGCGTGAAATCAATTCCTTAAACTCAGCTTGTGTTTGATTATGGTTGTCGCACATATGATATCAGACTAGATGTAATAAACAGAGTTAGATTGAAGGTTGATTATTATGATATATTCATGCCTTTCTTTAAATTGTAGTCAAATCAATAGGCCACTAAATGTAATTACTTGGATTCGAGGAGTGTAACACTACGTTTCGGTGTTTTTTAATTTAAATGTAAAATATAAGTTGTGTGAAAAAACATGAACACCAACCTAATAACTACTCACAAGCCGATAATATTATTCGTTGCAGACTATCTAGGATAAAAATTAATGGAAATCATTGGTCTCGTGTGCATTGTCCTTACATTCATTTGAAATATTAATCGATGATTTATACGGAGGCCTATCACATATTCCAGTTTGTAAAGAAATATAATTGGTAAAGAATCTAATATTCAGCGAAGCAAAATGAACATAACTGTGAGGAAAGCAAAATATCGCATCAATCAAAACAATCAAGAAAATATATTTTGGCAGCTGTCAAAACTTATTAGATCTAAAAGTAACCATTAACAAACTGGTTATTCACGTTAAATTATTATTGAATTGAAGTTTCTGCTGAAAAACAATTTCAGAATCATGTGTTTAAGAGGTGATTATAAGTAACTTTGTTTATTTCATACAAATTAATGAATGTTTGACTCATGCAATTACTTCTTTATGACTTGTAAATAGCTGACAAGTTATTGACAAGACTCTTGTTGTTTATTTTTCATCACACTTTATTATACTTACTACTTAACCTAATCACATCATTTGAAGGATCATGTTGGAGCGCTTAACAACGTTTGAAAGGCTGTCGAATTTAAGTAATTTAAGGAATCATGAAAGAAATGTGACTTACTAAATCACATATCATGAGACTCATTATTGGAGGTCAAATTCAAACACAGAGAATTGGTGATGATTCTACAAAAAAAATGCTGGCAGAATTGTTGAAATAGAGTCATGTGTTTGAAAGTATGGAAAATGATATAGATGAAAATTGTTCAACAGTTATCCGAAAATGTACGAGTTAATTAATCCGATTAAAATAATACACTTAATAATCACATGAATGTCATATGTACTGTCACTCATTTACCTTGCTGAAAAAAGATTATATAAGTGATGTAACAAAGCAGTCAAAACACCGTCTTTACAACATTATGAAACTATCGGGAGCAAACTGTTTGGTAGTCTTCAGCCTACTACAACTTCTTGTGGCATTTTCACACTGTAAGTTGATGAGGTTTTGTAGTTAGAACAATGCAGTATTTATTAAAATGATCACTCCTGTTTTCAATTTTACGGTTATCATATTGCCCTCTTAAAGAATTTGCGCCTTTTATTTCCGTTCATAACCACAATCGTATTCAATGAGACGTAGTTCCGATGGACGATTAGCTAAGACATGTACTGCAGACTGTTTTTAAGAATACCGATTGTCAAACACGCATTCAGTTGTCAGTGGAATGAGACAACCATTCTCCAAAGTTACAGATGACATTAGTCGCTCATATCTCTGAATGTATATGATTTGGATACAGAAAAATTTCATCATACCGCGAATAACAACGATATATATATATATATATATATATATATATATATAGTATTACATTAAATTTGATTCTTATTAGGCTTTACTCACACTAACAAGAATATCTATATGAATATATGGAACTACTAAAGTATACGTAAAGGTGTATGAGTCTGTGTTAACGGTGAGACATTTTCTCATCAGTATACATAATATTTGAAAGGAATGAAATTCGAGCGTGACGACTGGTTAACTAGTGGTCGAACGACATGACGTGAAAACGTAGACGGCTTCAAAATAAGACAAATAGACGTACAGGATGTTGATAATAACAATGGTAGTTTCAATACAAACCTGGATATACATTACGTGTGGTGAATCCACTGAAATACTATTTCACTTTGCAACCGTATTACTTTGAAAATGTTTGTGAATGTTGCCTGCTGAAATGCACCTTTTGGTCATGAGACAATAATGTGAATTCACCTTGAAGCAGTCAGTTCTAGAAATAAGTTTGTACGAACTCACTCATTTTGATATATTTTCATCGTCAGGTGATATTAATGGTGAGTCACGTTATTGATGTTTTAGTTGTCCTCTGTAAACAACACCCACCTAACTAAGTTTTCAGCGTTACAATCGCCTTGGCGTTCTCCTTACTCATATATGAGAACATAAGACAATGGAATAAAGGAGTACATAAAGCGCGATTTTTCAGATATAACCAGTTGTTGTCAGTTTGACGTAGTTTAATAATTTATGATATTGCATGTCATAAATATAATATACATATTAAATAATAAATGCAACTTCAGATAGAAGTATTAATATGTACGTTAGTTCATTGATTTGTACTTATCAGTATTGCTTGTATTCCACCAAGTTTATTGGTTGCTTAGATCTCCCCACATGTTATATAGGAAGCAAACTGATATTATCTTCTGATGGCAAAACAATTTTCAAAATTTTTACGTTGTTACCACCTTGTCTGGAAAATATCATTGAATGAAATACAATTGTGAAATAAACGTTTATTTTGAACACTATAAAAAGCCATAACATGCAACAGTAAGTTAAACAAATTGATATGGTATTGTTTGCTTGTATATTGCTATTGTTTTTTAACGACTGCGATTGATCAGTTTCTTGTAGGCATATGTGCATCCTGTGCAGATCGCCTCCATATTGCTTTCAATCACATGCTTTGTAAACAAAAATAGCTGGTGGCTGGCAGTGTAATCCACGACGCGTGTCCCGTCTTACCAGGACTCAGTAGGTAAGTGATGGTGTTTGAAGCAAACAGAGATGGTTTGGATGCCAGAAGTAAAAATCAACTCTAGGATGCTGGTACATCCAGTTGACGAATTCCAAATAGGACGAAACGCGAGTCCTTGATTTCACTGCAAGCCACGATCCATATTTGCTCACAAAGTAAGTTAAGCAATTTTAAAACGGTATTATAATGCTACGGAATACAAACCTTTTGAAAGCCAAGTACACTTTATACAAGCAGTAGAATAATCTGTCCAGTGGATTCGTTTAGTTTTGAGAATTTAGTCAAGCAGTTGATGTGCGTTGCAAAGGAGCTCACAACTTTCACGTTTCCGATGAATCGTATGAGATGCGTTAAAAAATATGTAAGTGTACACACTTAATGATTACATTGTCATTATTGATAATGATGGTATGCAAAGATTTGCAAATATTCTCAGCCCTTTTTAAATAATATTGACCTTTACGTTGGTGTATCGGTAGTTCTTGAGTGAATGAATTGCGCTAACAAACATAGATAATCAACTTTATTTAAAGGACGTAATTAGAAAAAAATGAGTATTGTGAATACTTATGATCGATCATTGTTTCACTGACAAACAATCAATAAAAAGTGCTGAAAGTTCCTAGCAAAGAAAGCGTTCACCTTGTTTTCGGTTGTAGATGAGGAAATTCATTTCAGAAATGAGTTGTTTTTTATTGTTTGAATTGATTGTTTAGTCAATTCACGTTAGTCGTTCGAATCTAATAACATCGGTTTTTGACAGAATAAAAATGTGTAAAGTCAATTGGTATGGAACATTTCTAATTATTTGCCTTTTGCTTTGAAATTTATTTATTATATTTCACAGAGACAGTTTGTTGCGGTACGTCTGATCTATAATGAAAAGCTTCTGACATATAAGGTTTCCCACTATGCACAAATTCAATAAAGGAGAAACATAAAACTCAGTAGATTTTAAAGTCTTCATTTATTCATAACCTGAAATAAGTTATGGCTCTGCAAAATTTTAAAATAGAATGGAAATAGATAACTTTCATACGATAGGCAGACTTCAACTAACATTTTATAATTACTACTTTGGAAATGAACATGGATTCTAATGACCATAAATAAGATGTTTGTGAACGATTCACTAATAAAGATTTTAATGATGAAGGCGAGTGATCCTGTAATTTTCGAACAGATATTCCTTAAAGTGGATTTCTTACTACTCGGCATATAAAGATGTAGCAGGCAACCAAAATATGTGCTCATTGATTTCTAACCAAAAATTTTTAAACACTTATATTACTTTTTTTAATGTTTAAGCAAATTTTATAAAATTTTCAGACGTGATATAAATATAATGTTTGATGAACGTGTCGTTGTAGCTAAACAACGTTCTGGCTGACTAGTCAATCTACCTAAGTTACGCTAGTCTGAATAGTGATGTTCTTTGCAAATCGATTAGTTACTGAACAATTTCCCTTTAAAGGATAACCTTCTTGATACTTCTTTTGAAGGCTTACTAACAGATGACTTTTGAAAGATGGAGAGGAGAACATTGGACTCTAAAATCAACTGTTGTGAAACAAATACTGTATTGCACTTGGGGAAAGAATGATCGACAAATCATCCACGGAGAGATGTACTGAAAATTACTGTTGAAGGATATTCATTTTTGCTTATCACTGTTCTGACTACGTAATTATAGCGACGATTGTTTCCTTAGAGGTCGTTCTAGCAATTAGTTAACATGGCAATTGCTACAAATCATACGAAATCACCAATCCATCATCGTCAAGCTAGATCAGTATGCCTAATATAGAATGAAGTCATCGTAATTACTTATAATTAACAGATTCATAATAATATTAAACGACATATTTAACCATATTTACATTCCAGCTTCAGAAGACGGTAAAAAAGGTTCGTACTGAGTTGTATTATATATATAGTATATTTTTATAGATATTCCAGTTTAATTTAGATTTGATTTATCATGACATAATTGTCGACTAAAAATTACACTTAATGAAAGGTCCCCTATGTTGTGGTAAGTTGGTCATTTTTTGCAGTTATTCATAAGTTATTTGTGATTTTCTAACGACTAACTTAGTTTCATTAGGATAAATCAAGTTGTATATTACTCTGGTAAGTGTAAATATAACCCGTAGAAAAAAAACACCGTTTTAAATAGTTCATAAAACGGAGTATTCTGCAGAAAGTATACCAGTTATGTGGAAAAGTATAGTTCGCTGTCCTGTTATCAAGACTAAGAGAAATATCGTACTACGAATACACGTCTTAGTAACTGACGTGAACAGTATCTTGTAACGTGAAGCTGTCACGTGAAGTCGATTATAAAACATGGAACTTCGACAGATTCCCTCAATTCCGACTACTTGATATTTATCGAATAATCGGTTAGTGAAAGTATTAAAGTGAATACAATTGTCCACTTGAGAGCTATTGTCAGTATCTAATTTTCATAAAGAACAAGATACCACTTCATATGTTTTGATAATTGATATTTATTTGAAATAGAATGTCTCCAAAAACTGTCTGTAAAACGTAGTTGCCGTCGAATCACATGAAGCAGCTATAGAGCAGTCATAATAATTATATTGCTCTTTCTTCTAAAAGTAAACCTATATACCAGTTTTAAAAGTTTTCCTCGGATTAACGGAATGCTTGGTGACACACTTACACACTATTTTGAATCCACCGCCTCCAATCGCCTACCATATGTCACATTATTCAAAGTCATTGATGGTCAATAGATTTAGCATGTTATTTTGCAACAAACAATTTTTTAATTTTCAATTATTTAAGGTCTGTTTGTTTCAAAGTATATTAAAGGGAGAGTTCGTTTTATCGCATTGTTCTATGACTGTAGATTATTGATTATCCTTTGTTGTTCTCTACTTTAGGGAAAGATGGTTGTCCAGGTATGTTGAAAAATTTGTTCGAGGAACATTTTATTTGCAATTTCAAGTGATTAAGTTCTTTACAAACCATAAGTCATCGGTGACAATCATATATATATATATATGTATATATATGTATATATATATATATTCACTTTGAATTTGTCGACCGGTAAGCAAATAACAACTTAACAGAATTACAAATTCATAAAATGAACGAATTGTCATTCACTACGTTGAAAATATAACTGCTTAATTATGGATTTTTACTTGAAGGTCTCATTGCATATAGTTGAAATGAACTTCGACTATTAGTACAATATTTGAGAGTAAAAAACGAGTATTAGGAAGTATCTAGATTCATGCACTTGATAAACCTGCAGTATCGTATTTATGTGGTGACTTATAATGAAAATGAACCGACTTTTTATCTGAGTGTTTATCAGTTTGTTTCTGTTTGATCACTCAGCTGACCACACATTTTGACAAACATAGGACTGGATGAAAAAATCTATTACTTCTCAGATTGAAATATTTTGAGAATTCATGTAAACATATAATGATACAAGTGATAACGGTTATCTCAATTGGTGTATGCAAAGATACTCTCAGAAAGCGAATTGTTCATTTGAAAATAGTTACATCTCATAAGAGGATCAATATAACAATCAAAATTTTTATCACTACAGTTCAAACAAAATTGTAGTCGTAACAAATAAAATGTACGAGAGCACAAAGATGAGAATAGCCAATGGCATTTTAATGCTAAATTACAGAATATTTTGGTAAAATTTAAGAAGCATTAATTAAAATTTCTATTCGCGAATTTACATCAGTTGTCCTTCACATTCTTTATGGTTCTTCCGATTCATAATTCCCATCTAATTCCGCTTCTGTTTTCTTTAAGTTAACCTTCATAACCTTCTGCTGTCAGGATTTCTACTTCCCACTAGTGTTACATATTACTTATGTTTGTTAACATAAGAAGCATACACAACATAATGACACATTACTAATTAAACCCATCTAAAATCTCATAATCGTTTGTTTATGTACATTATCATCTCAGTTCCAAGTAAGTCTAGTCTTATTTCAAAACTGTTTATAATGATGACTGCACTGTGAGAATTAGAATAATATGAAAATGACTGAGTATTTGTGATTTTACCTCTGTAATTGTCAGATATCTCTCATTCGCTTTCCGCTATCTTAAGAATTGAAAGGTTACGCTGACTATCTTTTGGGTCCATGACAATCATTCTGCCTGAAATATAGTAGATGGTTGATCAGAGCAGTTTCACTGTTTATGTGTTAATCTAACACGTCAACATCTACTCTTAATAACATATTTATAAGTCAGTTATTTGTCAAGCACTACAGTCTCTCAAAAAAAAAGAAATTTATTTTCTGTTCTAACTAAACAGGCACTCCAGATCTTTTGCTTGGAAATTGTGAGTATATTTGACATCTAATTTCATGCTTCCCAGTTTATCAATCCATATCTCTTGTCATAATAGCTATGTTTTACCAAATACAAACGCCGGGATCTTGATGTTGAAATGTCTTGCAACTAGTATTTAGGTAAAACTAATCGTTTAAATATAGTTTGTGTTGTACAGAGACATAAATATGACGCAAATATGATGCTTAAATGACACTGTACACTGGTGAAACTGTATCAACAAGAAAGTTTTTCTACAAGGGTGACGATTCAATACGAAACAAAAATAACAGGCATTTACAAAAACGACTGACCGAAAATTTATGCACAGTAGCTTGTCGAGAGTACCACTAATATGACAGTTTACGTTGATTAATTCACACGCTTAGACAATGTAGGTCAATCGCAGATGCATTGATCAGCTCCTAGGCAGATAAGATTCTCTAGATTTCAAATGTTGGTGTCTTAAGGACAATATATAACTCAGTATTATCACATAATATCGAAACAGGACGGACAAAATACTCAGGCAAGATAAAAGGAGTTCATTTTATCTGATTTGGATCTCGTTAATTCTTAAAATCTGTAGTATCTAAAAATCACAAATTAGTAAAATTTGTTGAAATTACTAACAGAAACATGTCTCATCGGAATCTGTTATCATCACAACTACCAGCTACAATCATTGCTTGATAAATATAAGAAAACTGAAACCAGCAAATATGATTACAGTCAATAAGAATACAATTCTTATCAATCTCGATTTTAAGTGTGATGTCGTTTGATGGAGAACCATCAGAAGGTTCAATCCGTGTTTTTCTTTCTTCAAGAAGGTGAGTGGAAAAATAGGCATAAATATCACGCTTATATGAACAACAAACAGTAGATAAAAATAATTTTCATTGTCATCATTCATGGTAAACATGTTATTTTTATTTATGATATCTCAAAACAGACCTGCGTCATCGACAAATGAGTAAGCATTTGTTCCATATTTACACTTATGATATCATACATATTTATCTGTATTATTTCTCATAACAGATGCAGGTGCTCCATATAATAATAATTTGTATCAAAGCAGTCCAATTTGAATTCTCTGTTATCCATTGCGTGAATCAGATAATGTAAATCACACACAGTATTAAAGCTAAGTGACGTTAATATATTGATAAATATCAGAAATAGGATATTAGAGGCTAATTTGACAGAGTATATCTTGTAATGGAGGTGGATCTGATGCTCAAGGGGTTCTTTCACAACATCGACAACTGCATTTTTTTGAGATATATGATTTTCTCTTTCATTATCAGTTATCAACATCATAAATCACTAAGATTGACTTCGTTCTGTGAACATTGGTAATAAGTACACTAACACTGAATAAGTTGCACATTGATTAATTCTATAACTGATCTGCTACCATCAAGAGAGAAACGGTTTTTGCAATCAGAAGTAATTAAAACAGCCAGTATTGAGAGTCACATCGGGTTCAAATATCACTGCCGAGACTTGCTTGTAAGCAGTTAGGATTGAGGTAAGGTATGGTGATATTAAAGTAACCAATATTTTAGTACCTTTTTCTTTCTGAACAGTATTAATGATTTAATTGATGTATATTACAAACAATATTCAGAGAATTCATGCACCATGAAATGAATGATAGATACTTGTCAATCAATTATATGACATTACTGGATATCGTATTCTTCACTTACGCCGCACTGTATTTTAAAAAATATCACTGTTCTAGAAAATTATTTAGAGGAAGTGTGTAAGTTATGTTCAATGTTCATCTTCAAAATACACTTCAATTCTCATGTCAACATTTTTATGATCCAGAAGTTCTAAAACTATTTTTAGTTTGCTTCCATAACGTTGTGAAAAAGTTTAACAGATTGATTACCCGATAGTTTTTAATAAGTCACGTACGATTGTTTTAATGCCACCCAACAAACTTTGGGTGATATTTCGAGAGAACGAACGGGAAGGTATCAGTTAAATATAATGTCCATATCACCTTCTCTAAGTCTATCATTTCATTTTGGATGCAATGAAAGTTCTTATTTTCAGCCTTATTGATTTCGAACAATTATTATAATCAATTAGTTCAGACTATCATAAAAGATATATGTGTTGAAGTCTGTCCTGTTTAGTTCCGACAAGAAATATAGAGTTTCATATGCACACTGAATTTTCGTACACTGAAATAACATTTCACACTTATGACACATTTTTCCATAGGCAAATATTTCATATGTAAGTTTTATGGGCATTACAGATGTTTACTTAGGCAATGTTAGACATGAAATTCACAACTGCTTCAAAAGTAATCCATAAACAACTAAAGGTTTACAAGATGAATTTCGGGTCTGTAGAGATTTCGATAATTTCTCTCTAATGTTGAACTTTATTGCATATATATTTGCAGAGAGAGATCTCAACTTTGGATTCTTGCAATTGATGCAAAATAAAACACAAAATAACTAGGTGAATAAGCATGGTGTCAAATTTATGAGATGAATGAATCAGGCACATTGTAATATAGTAATAAACGCAATCATGGTTGAACAGCCTTTGATGGATAATCTACAATACAAAACCTAAGATACTTATCTATCTACAACTGATAACTCTTATTTTTCGTCAGTTTGGATACCTTAAGAATTTTGTCCCTTCTTTTCCTCACACACGATATAAAAATTCTACCTTCTCTATCAAGATACATAATTGTTCTACCAGACTTATGGTTTACGTACACGTTGTCGATTATTCCATGTCTGTTTACTGAAATAGTTCAGATGAAGTCTGATCGTTTATGTATTTGGTGTATTTTATGAGTAACGTAGTTGCAAATAATATAGAATAGTTTTCACATCAATTGTAAACAATTGCACAGATAATATTTGAACTTAACTTCAGTGGTTGGCATAAATCACACCGATTGATGAAGATGATATTACGATTGTCACAAACAAAGTGAAAAAACCCACTGTTTTGAAGTGATATGACGTATAAATGAATAAGTGAGCTGTCGATTTATCAAAATGACATTGTGATAAATCACATATCAAGTTATATTTTTCCTAAATGAATATTTCATTCTGAAAGATAATCAGCGTTTGAACAGTTCGTCATTATATGAAGCATTGTATGGATCGAAGGTGTAAAGATAGGAGCTTTCAATCGAACAATTCAAATACTCAATTCAGTGTGGTATCTGTGACAAAGATGCATCACGATCACATTTCCTAAAACAGTAACTACAAGTGATATTAGATCACAATAGAGACTGTAGAGAAAACTAATTGAAATTCATATTGATAAGAAAAGTATGGGATGTTCAAAAATCAAGCGAGTTTCATTACTCATAAACATTGTTCATACTGAGATGTCTGTTTACAATTAGTTATTCAAATAGGAACTACTTGTATATGAATTATTTAAGAATGGTTTTAAAATGTGTAATTGTATTATATTTGTTATTACATTTGATAGACACGCCATAAAATACCGGAAAATTGGTTGTTCATGATTAATTACGTTTAAAAATATGCTAAACTGACCGACCGTGAATTTATGTATTTGATTTATTGTACAACTTAAATAATAAAAGACGTTCGTAAGCTCTAGTTCGTCTTTTTTCATATCTTGAATATTGGATGTTAAATTAGTGGGAACGTATATACAGAGGATTGTATTCCACTTTTAAAGTTTCACTATGATCGCATTTCTTAAATTTCTTTATCTGTTGTAGCATTTTTGAGCACACATTCATCTGCTGATCGTCTTAGATCAATCATCAGTCATTTAGAAACCACGCATTCTGTTTAACGCCGAGTTGACTTGTCTCTGTTCTTGACAAACAATGGCAGTTCCCCTCCTAAATAAACTGTCACAAAATGAATTATGGTGTTGAAGCATGGAGGCCGTACTGAGTGACAAGGAATGAAACCGTTTTGAGATGATCAATTTCCTTAAGATTATAAGTTTATCATGTACATCTTGATCAGAGGCATATAATACGATTTCCTGGTTCATAATTTGTTGACACAAAAGTAAAGTCTGTAAAATAAAAAATATCTATAGATTTATATATATATATATATATATATACATAAATAGCAGTAATAACAATCTCTAATTACGACAAGTTGCGTGTGATGAAATCTCTGAGTATCTCAAGGTGTTAGCAATATAGGTGATCGTTTTGACAATGTACATAGTTAGATTTCGCTAAGATGCCAAATTTACAGTAAAATCGGTGAACGACAGCACTTATTATCAGTATATTGGGTGACGAAATTTCATTTGCATTCACTTACTACTACCAAATATTTAGTAGTGCAATATAAGTAATTGGAGACAAACAAAATTGGAATTTGTCCTGAATGCGTCAATACTTGCTCTCATAGTTCTGTTCCAAACATACATAGTATTGTTTATAATTGTTTGTGATTCATAATTTAAATGTATACGTAAAGAGATAGGAACAAATTTACTTCAAAGAGTACTCATGTATTGTATATTCAATGAAATGTTACCGTAACATTGAAAGTAATTGTTAAATGTACTTCATATGTATCTATTTATGTTGTTCTAATTTCATTCACTTGAATATTTGAAGCATCACTGTTTTCAGTTTCATAATTAATCATTTAGTTCGGTGCAATTGTGTTGTGGAATATACAAATCGATTGTCTATCAGATATTTGTGATTTTTGAATTATTTGTATATTTGAGTAATCAAATTAACGGTCAACATCATTTCAACACTGTAAACTATTTACTGTAATAAAAATGCTGTTTATTGTAATAGAAAAAAACAAACCAAAAATTAGGTTTCCTTAGATTCTTTGAAAGTCATATACTATGTCTCACGAAAAAACATTTGAAACATTTAGAACAAAATATTTACCAGACAATTCTGCACAAATCAACTTATGAATTTTGGATCTAGAAGCTCTTCAAAAATAAATCAATAAATTATTTGTGAATATTTTTGACGACCTAAGGGTGCATTGGTAGTCTGGACTTCGGGTTGAGTCTTCGCTATCTCATTCTGATCTGTAAATGCGTTAAATAATCGTTAAGGAGACTGAGGCCATCCCGTCTCTGATTTCATCCGTTATAGTGCAACATCTCTAACAATTACTTTGCATATTTATCTACGTTCCGCGTTTACATAAGTTTTTTAGGAGGTAGTCATGATTGAGTTCATGTTTAACATCATTAGAAGACAAAACGTATACAAGTGTGTTAGTTTACCATATGGACTCGGAAAATAATGCTTTCCGATACTGAATCTGCCGCTTCTTCCGAATCGTCTGTGTTGTACTTCGTTTTTCTTGTCTTTTCCACTATTCTCTTAATAGAAAATATCTAAACTTCGACCAGATTTATGTACTGCAGTGGATCGGATCAACAGCTAGTGGCTGTATGTAATGCTGACAGTAATTTTTCACGGACACTATCTAATACTACGAGAATTCATGTTATATGATATATACAGGAGCAGACACGCTCAAGCTTATTGCCATCGTTTTAGAAACTATGGGGACTTATTACAGCGGTGTCTGAAAAATTATGGATGACCTTTGTAAGTTGTATGCTGAACAAAAACTCTTGATTCGCACAATTTTTCGATTAAGTATTAACTTACTAAAATTCCATATCAATCACTACTGTCAAATTTATTGATTTAAGGGTTCACAGGAGAATAAGATGATTTAGCAATATACTCATCCCTAATGGAATTCCAGAAAAACAAAAGGCGTGGTTGTGGCTGTTTTTTCAATATCTTTAGGTGCCATCGTAATTGGTGATATACTCTTACAAGGTCTAGTTTCGAAGAGATCTGCTTTCATTTTAGGTTTAGAGAAAAGTCATGTAGATGAGGAATAGGGTACCTGTCTGCGTGGTCTGATTATTTAAATGACGGTAATCCACACATTGGCGCCAGTCCTGACCTTTCTTGGGAACCACATGTGAAGGCGAAGCCCATGGGCCATTGAACTGCCAAATGATGCCTAGTTGCATCATGCGTTCAAATTCTTGTTTCGCAATCGTTAACTTGTGTGGTGGCTGTCTCCTCGGCCTAGTGCATATTAGTGGACCAGTAGTAGTAATATGGTGTCGTAAATGATGTATGGTGCATTCGTTGTGATAATCGACTCTTGTAGCGTTGTGGGCGCCATTATTGTATTGCCGGCTCGTTTCCCTAACTCGTATTGTTGTTTGAAGTAAACGTGTATGGTTGTGTGCAACGCCGTGCATTTGTGCCATATTTTTGATGGTACAAACAAATTCCAGTGGTTCAGTTCGATGGCTTAGAAAGCTGTTAGGAAAAAGATCTTCCTCTGGACGAGAACCTGGGTCGTCGGAAGTGGCATGTAGATATTCCAGTTTCCTTGCTAGCTTCGCTAACTGCTGTTGAAAGTTTTGTTGTGCCATTTGTATCCTCTTCACCGGGGTTTGAGCAAATTTAACACAATGGCTGTCCTTTATCTTGTCAAACATATCTGCTAAATCACCGGGGTGAACGGAGTTTCCTGACAGCTCGAGAATTGTGCTTACATCATGCTGTAGGCGTTGAAACCACATTTTCTTGCACGGCTATATCTAGCTTACATGGACCTACTAGCTGTTTCATGTATCTTAACCGCTGTGATGGTCTTTTGTCTCTCATGTCGCATGACGTTAACAGCTGTTGTAGTCTTTTTTCATATGAGACTGATGTGCATTGAATTACAGCTGCTTTTATCTTATCATATGACTCAGTCTCAGGTACCTGGTCGATTGCGTTACAAACCTTATCAGTAATTCCAATGGAAAGTGCACCAACTACATAAGTATACTTTGTCGCCTGTGAGCGTATGCCTCTAGTCATGAATAAAGCTTCTATTTGAGCAAATCAGACCGTCGGATTGTTAGCTCTGTAAAAGTAAGCGAGCTTCTGAAACTTTCGAATGCAATCAGACAGAAACTGAATTTCAGAGGTAATCAGATTTTATCACAATGAACACTGTCAACAGAAGACTGTAGTGACCTACTTTTGTGACGAGAACTCTATTTGTATAATGGAAACAATTATTATTATGGTCCATTGTATCAGTGACTGTTTTACCGCACCTGTTCGTTTAGGTGTACATAACACACACTTTCTTCCGTTGCTAGTGACCTTGCACGAACTCGAGTATGCTCATTAGTCCCGCTTGTAAACTTTGGCACGTCTTGATATTCTTTTGATACCCGAGATCACCAACAACTATATCCCATTGCAACCGTCAACTACTTCTGGTTTTTGGCTTACGAAAGGATCCCACCCAATACTTGGCACTTAATCTTCCTGCAGTGGTGATCATAGTTGATTGAGACCACACGCCATCTACAAGACAAAGAGTCGTACGTACTCAAATCATAAAGATCATTAAAATAAGTTGATTATGAACTACACTCTAACTTGATAAATATGTCACACGTGTCACTAGCCTGAAAACTTTGTAATTCAGAACACAGAGTAAAGCCAGTTTGGTGAGATATTAATTATTTTTAAAATGTTGATTTCGACTTCTTATCTGTGAATGACTGTGTTAGTATTGACTCAGATAATGCCATTGAAATTTTTATTAGTGCAACAACCACTTAATGAGTAGCGGACCAAAAAGTATGTTAACTCAAAAATAGCAATGAAGTTATTACGTCCAAAAGTAAATATAATAGTATACAATTTATAAGTTATGAACACAAACAGAATTTAAGGGACGTTACTTAAATCATCTGATTGATGGTTGTTCCGTTGCGTTTAAGCAAATCAATGAATATATCCAGTGGGTGTATACAAGAGATGATGATTGAGGTAATATTCTCACACCTTCTTAATAATGATATGTTTCCTGATATTTCAGTATGCCAAAACTTTCCATTGGCTAATGGCCTGCAAGTCAGTTTACATATTCTACCTACATTTCTGTCTAATCAGCGTTTTTTTGAGAAAAAGTTTATACTACTTTATATTTTTAGTAGACAGTTCGCATCAAACTCCAATGTACCAAGGATGAAACAGGAGTCCAACATTCCATTCCTTACCATTATCTATCTGAGCTTCAAACGATTGTTATTTAGGGTAATTTTAAAGTTGTCAGCACAGTATGCACACTTATGAAAAACAGACTGATCAACGGCAGTTTTAAGCGTACGAGAAAAGATTCAAACAACCAATATAAGATTGAGCAGACAGTGTTATTTCTATATATTTATGACACAAATGAAATGTTTGCATAAGCTAATGCCATTGACTGTATTTATCAATACGATTACTTACAACACCATTTAGTTGTCTTCAATTTTGTACATTTCCTGAATATTTATTTACGCGGAACAGTTTCCATAATCATATATTCTGAGTTTCCATTTTGGTCACTGACTGTTGTTGGCATAACACATTGCTACCAGCGCTCCCTCGAACAAAAAATTTCTCTTTTGAGATCAACAAGCATGTTAGTCACATAAAGTAGCTCAAGAGTTGACGTATTTAATCAGTTCGTGTACGAAAAGCAACTGATAATTAACATTGTGTAGAATACAATCATGTCAAAAATGTGTCCTTGAATACGGCATTCTAAATTTCT